CCGAAGTCGGATCCAGCGGTAGTTTCCGGCCATTCCCGGCCCCAGGTTGCCTTGGTGAGTGACTGCTGGCCGAACGTAACCCTCAAGAATGCCGCACTGTGGCAATTCCTTACATCTTCAGTGCTGAGGCGGGACAAAACGCAAAGCTTTCGCACACATGTTGCCGGCAGGGGCTTTGCTGCGCCTGCGACGCCGATAGAGGCCATGTGAGCAGTTCCTTGACGTCTACTGCGAAGTTCGTTCAGCTCAGTGAAGAGGAAACTCTTCTCTCAGTCCCATTGAATGATGTGCGTGTTGCAGCTCTGGGTTTCCAGCTCAAGTTCAGCCGCCTTTTCAAGCTTCTGCGGCTTCTGCTATGGCGGCCAATCCAAAAGCTCCCTCTAGCCGCAGGTCGTCGTCAAGACTCCTGGCACTGGCAGCAATTGCCATGGCAGGAATTGCCGTCGTCTTTGTCTGCTCGGCGGGCACGACAAGCTTCCTCCAACCCCCTGCGCCAACATCGCGACGATTCGCCTTGGGAGGTCTCGCCGCAGGCGCGACAGTCTCCCTGACTCGACCGGCTTGGGCAGAGGAGATCATCCGTTCGGATCCCTTCGTCGGTTCCTTGCAAAAGCCTGGACAAGCTTGGCCTAACGGACAGTGCAAAGCGGATGTTACGAACGTTCAGGACAAATGGAAGGCAGCCATCTTAAGCATCTCCAAAGAGTACCTGAGCAATCCAACGGGAGAGAAGTACAAGGATGTGGCAAAGGCTGCTGCAGGTGAACTCTATGGATACGACGTCGGAAACGTTCTTTTCAAGCCGACCAAGGCAAAAGAAACGCCGTTCCGAGTGTCTGCAGAAGGTGCACTGTCCTACTTCATTGGGTACGATGCCATACAGCCGGCAGGGTTCAAGGAGGATAAAGGCTTCGCTATCAACGCTGGCAAGGGCTGGAAAGAGGTGCGTTTTGAGAATAGCCAGATCAGTTGCTACGATGGTCTTGCGTTTGCCCAGGGGAATTATTTCTTCACCGATTATGACAGCAACGTTGCTAAGGTGGAGTACAGCTTTGCCTACCAGAAGATGCCCGACGGCAAGTTGAAAATCGTGCTCCACCACTCTTCGATTCCATACTCTAGGTGAATGCTGCCAGACAGACAGCAGAGCTGTCCTGATCGACTCAAGAGCATGCCAGAGTGTGCGCTTGCTCGGTTGGCAAACTGAGACTAGCTTTTGAAAGCTGGCCGGGCTGCAGAACTGGCAACAGAAACAAAGGAACTTTATGCATTGTACGCTCTTATACTTCTGCATGGCCCTGCCGTAATTAGGATGATTTGAAGCTCCGTATGAAGAGGGGACCTCTCAATATTTTCTGAACTCCTTCGGGAAGGATTGTTTCTGAATGAAGCTTGGATGGATGAGACGATGAGACGAGAAGCAAAGAGGAAATGCCTCATGTCGCCTTCAGCCTGCAATTCCTGCGAACCTCCTCTACCTGGCTGAAAGTAGAACCCACGGCTTGAACGCACGCCTGCACACGCCATAGACTCGACCCAAGCCAGACTGCCCCCAAAGCCCCCATTGCGCCCACCCAAACGTGCAGTGAAAGGTGATCGGAAGCGTCCCATGGCCGAGCCCTGAGATGGGAGCGTTGTTCACACCCAGAGCTTTGGTCTGTGACCTGCCATATTAGCCATTTGCAAGAGGACTTGGACAGAAGGGCTGTGCTGCGCTAGTGTGATACATCCCCCTGGCAAGCTTCTGAGCACCGTTTTTGAGCAACCGAGCCGTCAATCACAGAAACCTTAGCGCTGCAAAGCTTTGAGGCCTTGTGAAGCCCTGAAGCTTGGATTCCTCCCCAGG